ATATTCTTTTAAGCTCACTCCAAATTATTGTGACAGTTTGGAAATTATGATGAGTTTAAACTGATGAACATATGTAAAGAGCCAGATATATTTTCAATTTAAATTTCACCAGTAAAACTAAGTGTCACAAGCAAGGCTTAGAGTTTTGCCCCAGTGTTCTCATGTTGCGTGTGGCAGACTTGTTCTTAAGGTCCGAGACCTTTCTAGTTTATGCAGCTCTCTGTACTGCCGGTTAGTCCCCAGAGCAGGACCTTTCCTCTCAAAGGTCCCGGATAATTCATCTGTTCTTGATTGTGTTACTGGTTTTAACATTTGTTTCCAAGTTATCGCTACCACATGAGTTTAAAACTGCTGATGTGYCCCAGTGTGGCCAGGTAGAACTGCAAAGCAGCCATCCACCTTCCTGCTTTTCCCAAAATAACACTTTGCCCTGGTGAAGGAAAAGAGAGGCTTCGGTGCGGAGTCCCTCCCTCCTGTGCTGAGCAGCAGGAACCGCGTGAAGTTCTTGCGGGAGGTGACAGTTTTGCAAATTGTGAAGGAACCGAGTGACTTGATCATCTTGCAAAGGTGTTTGCTGAAGCCAGGCAGCTCCCTGATCAAATATGTTAAAGGTGGCTGGCATGGGTAGGGCAGGGAGAACCTTCTGTGTTGCTGCATGCTGTCTGCTTAGGAGTTGTAATTTGTACTTATATTTTTGAAGGACCTGATGCTGCAGGACCTGCGGCTGTAGGGGAATTGGGATGGTACCTGGTAGGTATCGTGTAAAGGTGCTGGGCTTGACTTGAACCTTCCTGTTAGATTAAGGGTTCCTGGCGCTGGAAGCTTGAGCACCTTTGGAGCCCTGGGGACATTTCTGTAGTAAGAGAAATGTAGTTTGKGTCAAATTTTGTGTGTATTTAAAGGCTTAATGATGGCAGCATGAAAGTCTTATCKCCAGAAGCTTCTTCCTGCATTTCATTTGTGCCTGGAGCTTAATTTCTTTTGCAGCCTTCTCAGTGACCTGCAGATGAACAGTAAAGAGCCAGAGCCTGTGTATGAACATTTAGAAAGTTTAATATTTAGATCTGAAACAAAAAATAATTTATATGTAAACAGTTGTAAATCAAAACTCTCTGAAGATGGAGTTGACCKGTGCTTTCAATAATTGACACCTGGGCAGCTTTGCCAGTATTAGCTTACCGTCCAGCATTCATTCAAGAATTGCATTATCAGAGGTAGCTCCTGCTCGTGCCACGTGTGCTGTTCTTGCCCTCCTGGCTGGTGGTTACCGGGTGATGCCGCTTCCCTCGTGGCTGCTGCGAAGGCCCTTCCGCTGCCCCGTGCCCAGGACGTGGATGCGCCACCCTTCCCTGCGGGACAGCACCCGGAATCTGACACCAGGGACAGAGAAATCCGACACGCAGTGACCTCTGACAGAGCCCTGGCACAGGCTGTCCAGGGAGGCTGTGGAGGCTCCTTCTCTGGAGATCTTCCAAAGGCACCTGGATGCCGCCCTGTGCCCCGTGCTCTGGGTGTCCCTGCTGGAGCAGGGGGTTGGACTGGATGAGCTCTGGGGTCCCTTCCAACCTCAACCATCCTGGGATTCTGCGACATTTCTAGCCTTTTTTTTTTCCTGTTAGTAACATGGGTTCTACCATTTTTATTAGCATGGGAAGTAAAATATGCCACTGTGCCACTTGRCAGTGATGTGTTTGCTCGCAAGCATTTCCTGCTGATAGGCTTGCGAGAGCAGTGTGCTTGTGAAGGCTGCAGGAGGGCAAGGGAGTGTTGATCTCAATTTCATATGCAGAGCACAGGTGCTCCTTCCCTGAAGTGCCTCTGTAGCTTCCTTAAAGCATCAAAGAAAGGGTGAAAGTAGGTAGATAAAAGAAAGGGTGAAAATAGGTAGATAACAGTCTCTCAGAGTGATTTTTTAAAATGCTTGCTCTCTGCATTCACCTCTGTGGCCCTTCTTAGTTTGCAGCAGCATGCCTTTATTTAATAGCCATGCACTCAGATTTTAATGTTTAAAGTTGTTTATGGGTGATCGACCAGATCTKCTAGTTGAATAAAACAGAATAGTGAAAAACCATCTTCTTTACAGTTGTCCTTGCCTCTCTATATTCCACCTCCTGCTGAAAGAATGGCTTTCTGGAGCAGTATTAAAAGAAAAACACGAGTGCCAAAAATCCCTGCTCTTGGTTCTTTGTGAAGAGACAGATGCTGCTGCCTGGTCTTGAAGGAAAAATAACGCTCACCGGAAAATACACACGAACCAGACTTGAAGTCAAGCAGCCCTCTGTGCTTCCCAGGGCTGCTTTAACAAGCGGGCTGTTATTTGCTTAAAAGAAGAATGTTCTTTTAAGGGCTCTTTGAACTCTGCAACAGTCTGAGCTATGAAGGGAATTAGAAATACAGAGTTTGCTTTAGGCTTTTATTGGCACGAAGGCTTCCGCATTTGTTTCTTGTGAAGGACAGAGAGGTTTGTAGCCATTTTTCTGCCTTTATCAGAAAACATTTTGGGAATTGAGGAGGGGAATATTTCAGAGTATGAAATCCTCAGCCAGGGCACGCTCTCAGTGAATTTCATGAAGACCCAGTATTCTGTCGAAAACCTGTTTGCAGAAGAGGCTGGAACAATTTAATAAAACTGTCTGGGTGGAGTGGTTAGTCAAGATGCTGACTTTTTAGCTGCTGGCTGCTCTCCAGATTGAGTTAGCAGCTAAACTTCCTTTTTTATAGACTTTTTTTTTTTTTTTTTGTAGCAAATGCCTCTTTCTGCCCAATAGAGTGCCTGCCTCTCACATTTTCCACAGTCTACAATTCTTTTTTCAAATGCAAGGTCTAAAGTATTTCATAATACTATTATATTTTTTTTACCACAGGGCCAGTAGAGCTTTCAGTTCTTATTTTAGCAAGCTAGAAATGGTCTGGGAGCTTAGATCTTGTGAATGGAGAAAATTAAATTTGAGAATGAGTAATTTGGTGCAATAGCCTCATTTGAAGAATAAATGCATAGTGTTTTACATTGGCCTCACTTTCCATTTTAGATACTCTGTGGGCTTTTACTGGTACCATAAAATTTAAGTTTTTTGGCAAGCCCCATTTAGAGACAAGGAGCACAACTCTAGCTTGAGCCAGGAGTATTTTGGCTTACTCCGACTTCTGAATAAAACTTGTTATGTTTATACTGATCATAAGATCTTTTTTGACCAAGATCATGAGATCCTTTTTGACCAAGAAAACTTTGTTTTGCTTTGGTTTTGTTATGACTTCTAATTTAAAACTCAAGACCAAAATAGAAAAGGACAAATCAACAAGGCTTTCTGGTTTCAGATGTCTCATGCTCAGCCCTTTAATGTCTGTTACCGCTTGTGAAATGGAAAGAGCAGAGCAGAGCAGTCTGATTCCTTGTAACAAGGCTAATCTTGAACAGGTTTGTTTAAGGTGTCTGGGGTTCCCTTTTACTCATGCACCAGGTGTCTAGGTAGTTGTGAAAACTCTTTTTACAACCGGTCTAGAGACTTGGAAGGCCCTGCTGGTGACCACTGAATGACTCTGCGTACGAGGGGCACAAGTAACATCACAGAATCCCAAAATGGTTGAGGTTGGAAGGGAACCCTAGAGATCATCCAGTCCAACCCGCTGCTCCAGCAGGGACACCCAGAGCACGGGGCACAGGGCGGCATCCAGGYGCCTTTGGAAGRTCTTCAGAGAAGGAGACTCCACAGCCTCCCTGGGCAGCCTGKGCCMGGGCTCTGGCACCCTCACACCAAACAAGTTCTTCCTCACATGCAGATGGAACTGCCTGGGCTTCAACTTGGACCCATTGCCCCTTGTCCTGTCACTGGCCACCACTAAGAAGAGCTAGGCCCCACTGGATGCCTCACAGTTACAGCCTGTGTCTGCTGCACGTGGGTACAACCAGCTGCAGGAACAGAGAGGTTGCAAAGCCCACGCAGCAGAGAACGTGGATGCCAGGTGTTACCCAGAAACACTGTGTGCAATTTCAGAACAATCTGCAGTCTCTGCTCGGTTCTTTCCWTACTTGAATACATGGCCTCGTGTATTGACTTGTTCTTGAGCGCAAGTTCCTGAAGCCTAAGATTAGCCTTATTCAAAAYATCTGGCAGTGGGAGAGTAACTTTATTGTACAAGCAATTGCACAACTGTTCCTTAAATTTAATGTAGGTATCTGTAAGAGTGGGGTGATGCTTATTTAACAGGGCAGAGCTCCTTCATCAGAGTCAGGCTTAGAGCTAGGGTTTTAATGAGAGCTCGCAGGAGTAAGCTTTAGTCTTTCCTAATCTTTATCTCCTTTTTTGACTCTGCTCCCATAAATTTACAAGGTGTTCCACAATATTTTGATGAGATTAGAGCTGAAAATAATTCCTTGTAATTAAAAGGTTTAATTAAAAACTTACTTTTATCTAAAAGTAAGATCTTTAGAGAGCTTCATAAGTAGTCTGTCATCTTAATGCCAGTGTCTTATCTGTGAAACCTGAAAACTGGCAGCTTGTAAATCATGCCTCTTTTCTGAAAAGAACAGCAGGGTGATATAAAGGGAAGATTATTTAAAACTTTTGGCTGCCTCTGTGGATGGAGAACCCTTCTAGCAGTGCCTCCATGGGAAAGGTGCTGCTTCCTTCTGCCCTTGCAGAAACCTCTGTGGTTTCTCCAGCTTTAATCTGGTTCATTGTCAGTGTGACCACCCTGTGCAGCCCTAGGGGATGAAGCTGAAAAAAATACAGGTGTGAATATAGGTGACCTACAGCACTGCTGGTTCATGCAGGAGGGTGTKGCTCCCCGTTTACTTCTCCCCTTCTTTCCCAGCTAGTTTGCAGATTCACTAGATCCAGCCCAGCAAGGACTGGAGCAGAGAAGATGAAGATTTCTTTGGAAATGAGTCTCTTGGAAGAAATAACCTCCTGTCTTCTTGCTTACCTCTGTAGAAGATAAACTGATTTTGTTTGATTTTTTGTCTCTTGAAATCTAATTTAGATTTCTTATGTTCTTCTTAGATTGGYGCATATGATCAACAAATATGGGAAAAATCTGTAGAGCAAAGAGAAATAAAGGTAATAATATTCTGRCATTTCAACGTTTTGCAAATTGGTATGCTGATGTTGTTTACAATGCATGTGTTATTCCTTAGAACTGGCAAATTAGATTTCTGGACAGTAACCAAACATAACTGGCATATTATGCCCTACTTATTTTACATAATTAATTATCTATGGTATTTAAAGCGCTGCATGTTTTTTTCTGTACCTTGGTACAGTTTTATTTTGGTCTTGGTTATCTTAAAGCAAAGTTTATTTTTTGTGCCTTTGTTTATCTTTCTCTTTTCTTTATGATGCCTTCTAATTTCAGTTCTCTGAGCTCTCTTTGCTTTCAGTTAGTTCCCTTATCCCTCCAGTTTACTTTTCCTCCTTTATGATGCTGTCCTTGTTTTATACAGTTTATTAGACTGGTGAGTACTTCAGGCTTTGTACCTCAACAAGCAGTTTAACAGTGGGTTTTTTTTTTTTTTTTGCATTTTGGTTTAACTAACAGTGCCATCAGTGTCTGACACAGTGCTAAGGTACTTTTTGGGGGTGAAAAATCAATCCTGTCTGTAACGGTTTTATGGATTGTACGTTATGCCATGTTCCATGATTTCAGAGTTACTGCCATTAACTTTTTTTGCCACTAACCTTTTTTCTTCAAATATTGCACACAAGAAATTTGCTATCACTGCATGAGTTTCGAAGCCATTCCTAACGTTTAACAACAGCAAAATGTTCCTTGCTTCAGTTTTCCCGCCCCTCCTTTCCCCTGCTTTTGCCGTGGTGCTTAAGTAGCCAAGCAGAATCCATTAGGGAGATTTGTTTGTATTAATGTGGAAACTATAACTGACCGGGCCTGACAAGTTCCCTGACTTATGTACAAAATGTGCAAATTCATGTTTAATTTGGAGACCGTGATGTTTTTACAGCGATGATAATTTTACAGCGATGCTGTTTTTACGGCAAGCGCTTCCCAAGGTGGACGCCCGACCTTCTAGGTGGTGCTGCACAGCCACATGTCCCTGGCGCTGCCSCTGGGAAGCTCCGTCCCTCAGCGGGACCCCGAGCTGCACGGTGCCGGGCGCAGGGAGAGCCCAGAGGCGCCTGCTGCGGCCTGTGCCACCCCTGCGGGCCCTGCACCCGGTGCCCAGCATGGGGAGAGCCAAGGGGCACCCACTGAGGCCTAGGTCACCCCTGCGGGCCCTGCACCCGGCATGGGGAGAGCCAAGAGGCTCCCGCTGCGGGCCGCGCCGCCCCTGCAGGCCCCAGGCCCGGCGCTGCTGCCGGCTCCTCCGAAAAGATCCCRATGCCTGGGGCGCTGCCAGAGCCCTGTGGCCCCTCACGGTCTCTTCTGAGACGTGATGTTGTTGGCGTCAGCGGGAGCCTCCCGTACAAGTGTCCTCTCGATGGTGAATGCCCTCAAACGAGGAGCCGAGYGCTCTGCTCCGCGCAAGAGCGGGACTGCTCAGAGCACGGGGAGCTCTTGCAAGAAAACGGGGGCTTTTTAACTTCCTCAGTGGTTGCCCTCCTGGAGGCACCAAAGGGATGAAAACTTCCCTGAGAGCCTTCTGTGTCACAAATTTCCTGGATCACCGTGGCCATGTCCCTGTCTCCCTGGAATCTTTGGGGCTGTTTTCCCTACGGTGCWAGTGGGGCCAGTAGTATGTGCAGCTGTCAAAGCTAGTGCCAAAAATGTTTCAACTTGAGAGCTGTCTGGCCTGTTGAAAACATTTACAGAAATCCCATGGAATAGCACCGTTGGTCAGGAGTGTGCAGAGAGATGGTTCAGAAACATCCTTGACAAGGAGCACAAGGAGTTTTAAACCAAGACCCTCACATATTACCCATTTTCAGTGTCCTTTCAGTGACCATGAAAGCCAGTCACCATTGGAGTAGAAGGTCTTGTAACTACTGCATAGTAGGACATGATTCAAATAATACCCCAGAGAGGACCTGTGCCTCTTAGAAATGTGGCTTGTTTGGGTCTGTAGTCCAATAATCACCAAATTCAACRTAGGAGGAGAAAGGATACTGTTGGTGTAAGCTGGTGTTGACAGAGGTTTGTGTAATAAAGATAACCCTGAAACAAACTCTGAGCTCAGGTACTGCAGATGACAACTGCAATCTTAACACTGCTGCAGCTGAGTGAACTGAGCTTCATGGAAAATCACTATATTTGAGTGGAAAAATCTGTTTCCAATATGTATATTATAGATACAGATATATWATATCTGTTTCTGAAGCTCAGGGGTCCTAAGGAGAGGTGAGAGCAGCACTTTCCAAAAACGAATCATCACCTACACTGCTCAGTTGATTTTTTTTTCTTTTTTTTTCCTCCCTCAGAATTCTGTATTTAAGACCAAAACCACAGTTTTCACCACTGCAGTAGATTGCTCATAGGGCTTGAGTGGGAGAAGGTTTATTTCTTTTATGTGAATCTTTATTTAGATTTCAAAAYATATTTGAGAATTACTCTATCATACAACATTTCATTTCTAAGATTCAAATTTTTCATTTTGCACAAGAGTAACTTGCTTATGGAGGATTTCACGTGACTCTCTAACTAGCTCTGGAATTATGCTCATGCTAGTTGTGGGCTCGTTTCACCCTCCACATATAATGCTGTAGTCTTAAGATTTCTTWAAAAAAAAATTTCCACCTGAGACCCTCTGCATGTATTTCTCCTGCGGTACTGTTTTTCTCCATTTACCATCCTACAAGCTGATTTTGTTCTATTTATGTTTTACTTCTATAGAAGTATTATTTTTTATTATTACTTTACTGTTAAAGTAATATTACTTCTGTTTGTTTATGTCAAGTCTGTTTTTTTCCTAATAGACATACCTAGTGATCCCTTTGTTTTTATTTCATTGTGAGCAGTTCTGCTTTCACTGCAGAATCCAGCTGACATCAGATTTAAGAAAAGTGAATGGCCAAATTTCACTGTTCTGCCATTAATATTCATTTCATTTTTACACATTCACCTCAATGTAATGCTTATATTTAATAAATGTTTCTACACATTTATGTAAGCTGACAATGAAATTTAAAATTTACCAGTGAATTTAACTCCTTTTTGAATGAAAACTGTTAAACCCTTTCCATCATAACTCCATCCCYGTACTAACTTTTCTTTGACGTGTTAGATTTTACTCTGTATGCGTTGTGCTCTTTGGATCAGTTTTGGGTAATGTGACTAAGAGCATAGTGTAATGGGATTGGAATAAGTTTCCATCTCTGTCTAAAGCTTGAGAGCACAGTATCACATTTTAGATTTAAAAATAAACATGACAGTCATGCAAGACTCTGCTTGGCTCTTCAGTCAAGGAAGATATTGTTTCTAAAAGACAGAATAAGCAGAGACTTTCCTCCTTTTTTTTWWTTTTTTTTTATTATCRTATATGTGTTATTTTAGTGGGTGAGGAGTCTGTTTTATTTATTTTTATTTGTTTTWCTTCCCTTTCCTTCTTATTCGGTGTTAAGAAAAATTCAGTATTTGTCCAGATTTTTGCACTAGAGTGGTGGAGCTTGCTAGTTTTAGTGGCTCTTGATGTAGAACACAGCTTGTTATGATTCTCGAATTAAGGAGTTACACTGTGCACGTTTTGTGAAGTTTAATTGGAGATAGAAAAAGGTTTCAGGAAAGTAATKTGTGGCCAAAGTTGTGAAAACTCAATAGAAATATATTACTAATTCTTGCAAGTGTGTGCATAATGTGTTGTTTGCGTAATCCCAAGCCGTGGGAAATGAACGCTCGGAGCTTAATCGTGTTTGCAAACTACCTTATGGTCAGTAATTGGCAAGATTTTATATAGGTTTTAAAGTGTGTAAAAGACATATATGGTTCCCTGTTGCCTGGAACATTTATTTCACACTTCTTTATATCTATGAAGCTTATGTATTTGTCTGAATTTTTGATTGCAAAATAGGTTAAATATAATTACTGACCACAACAGTATTTTTCTTTTGCAGTTTGAGTTCTGTGTGAATGTATTCTGACTGYATTTGTGTCTTGCAGGGTTTGAGAAACAAACCAAAGAAAACAGGACATGTGAAACCAGACCTCATAGACGTTGATCTCGTGAGAGGTAGGTCTTGAGCTGGAAAAAAGCTGCATTTCTCAGTAGCTCAAAGTTTTGAGGGTCATGTGCAGAACAAAAACAAAACCCTACTGTYCTGTGTCCTGAAACAAGAGTGGATTAGCAAATATATAAATTTATTTATATTTTATATTTATATTAAACTGAATACATGTGCTTTTTGAGAGAACAGATAGGAAATACCATTTAAAGAAGGTCTCTAGATTAAAATTTCAAAATGCTTTCCAGTTTAATTTTGATATTTAGATTTCGAGTAGAGAAATCGATTAGTTATCCTAGATCCTAGTATTGGAATAAGGGTTAGAAATCTCCTATTTTTATATATTTAGGTATTCTTCCAAATCTTATGACAACTAGAAGAAATATTATGTTGAAATTTCCGGTCTGTAAAAATTGTATAGACCTTGAATGCTTCTTTCCTGAGGTAAAGAATGAAATGGTAAGAAAAGGAAGAAGCCTCCTCTTTTTTTTTTTTTTTTTTTTTCATTTCCTGCATACCTGGCAAAGACAAAGGCAAAAAATATTCTTTGGTGTTTCTTTACCCGAACTGAGGAGCCAGCGTGCCCTGAATGTGTTCAAGTAGTGTTTTGTCAGTTCAACTCTCTAATCAGCTGAAGTTTTGTGGAAATTTTAATAGTTCGGTGAAATACCTGATCTTATTCGCTTGTCAGGGAGGAAAATAGGCATTAGAAAATCTACCCTCTATGTAATGAAATGTGGGAAGATTTTAAGAAAAGAAGAAAAGAAATTTGGCAAGATTATTAAGAAAAGGAGCTGCTTTTAACAGCTATTATAGTAGTGCTCCTTAGTGCCAGTGCCGGGCTGACTTCTCACTGTTAAAACCTGCAGAAAATGGGAATAGAAGATGTGTTTTAGCTGTGTCAGCACAGGGCTCAGTCATGGCAAGTGTAAGGAAAGCAGAGGTGCTCAGCAGACCTAGGGGCAGGGGCTGGTTGTGCTGGCCTATTGATAGCCTGGTCATAATTTAAGTCTCATCCTCATTAGCTCTAAGCAAATGTTTCCCTTTTTCACTAGTGAAATAGCACACAGTTAGGTTGAGGTACTGCCTCCCTCTCATTGAGTGCCAAGGAGTGTGGGGAAGGAAAATGTGCTCTTTTTGGTAAATGGTTATTGTTCTACGTGTGTCGGTGCTTCTGTTTATGGATAGCATGGAATTGTTTAAGTATCGTACAAGGAGCATCATGAATCCTGAAGCACCAGGTAAGTMATTTGCTTAGTCTTACACGAGTTTCGTGCTGGTTTTATTTGGACTAATAAAAGAGAAGGTAGAGAAATGCCAAATCTCGGCAAATAAAGTGAGGTCCGAATATTTGCTTTATGAAGGAGTCTGGAATATATTATCCCTAAACATTGCTCAACACAGAAATGAAATTGGGTAGTTGAGCAAGAACACAGCCTCGACTTCCAAATGTATCATTCAGCATATTTTTACTGGCCTACAAATGTAAATAACCATCTTCCATAGTGATTTCGATTCATTCATAGRTCTGCCTAATGAAGATTTTAAAATAACAAAATTCTTTCAGCAAACTTTATTAGAAAACTTGATCCAGAGGCGGGGAAATTTTCAAGAGGAAAAAGCAGTGGGAGGATAGGAGAAAGGAGTGAGTGAGACCAGAAATGGGGCAGGAGGAAGGACAGAGGGGCGTCTTTCCCGACGTGGTTTCCCTGCCCTGCTGCTGCTCCTGGCTTTGCCCGCTGCCCTTTGGCACCTCTGGGCGCTTTCCTGGGTGATTTGGCCGGGGCAGCTGCCCGTGTTGCCGCTCCGCTCTGCCCGCCCAGGCCTGCGAGCTCCTCGTGTCGCTGCCTCTTGCTTCACACCGAGTTTCTGGTATCTTAGTGAGGCCAAGTAAACAAATAGTTTTGACATGGTAGGAAACGGCGTCTGGTTACGCACACCTCCCGAAAATGTAAATATTGTTAGAAGATTCCGATGGCAGTAGTCAGGCTTTGGATTGAGGATGTAGTTATTTATAGGATCAATAGTTAAGTACACTTATTTATCTAAATCTGGTATTTCTTTTCAACATCTTAACCACTCTCATATCAGCAACTAAAGTTATAATTAGCCATAACAATAAACTGTATCCAGATTTTTAACCTTATTTAAAATCTCTCTCCTTCTCTCCATGTTTTTTTAATTATTATTATTTGTTTATTTGTTTATTTTTAGGATCTGCTTTTGCTAAAGCAAAACCTGAAAGTCCTTGGACATCTCTGACCCGCAAAGGCATTGTGAGAGTCGTGTTCTTTCCGTTCTTCTATGGCTGGTGGCTCCAGGTGACATCGAGGGTCATCTTTTTCTGGCTGCTCGTTCTGTACCTGCTTCAAGGTAGGGTTGGCTTACAGCTTTGGCAGAACTCTAACCATTTGGCTTATTTTAGCCATTTGAAAAATTTTGCATCATACTTCACTGTGTGTTACTATGGTTTGTTCCAGTATTATTTGAAACTRTTTGCAGTCCCAAACATGTGTCTTTGGATTAACATTTTTTTTTTCAGTGTATAGAGGGGACATCTTGAAAAATTAAGGATTTCCTCACTGCCTTTCTTCAGCATTTGGCGTATATGTTAGGTTGTCGTCTCTATATGTAAGTCAGATTTCCAGGTCCGTATTGTTTCAGGACTGAGAGGTGTCAAAATGCCTTTTGACTTGGGCCTTGTATTTTATCTTGAGCTTTTAATCTTCCTGATACTTCTGCGGTTCAAGAGCTTGTTACCAAGAAGCAGGAAATGCCAGACCTGCCAAGGTGTGACTGTGTGCAACCTGCTGGCATGATCCCTAACCAGCTTCCAGGTGGCCTTCCCCATGTTACCTGCTCATATTAGATGCAATTAAGCTTCTAGCTTACACTTCAGTCAAACCTCAGCCATGCTCCTGAATGACTGACAAATAACAGGCTGTTGTCCTGTGGCCTTCTGCTGATTTCCCCATTTCCCATGGGAATAGCACGTGTCTGTCTAGGCAGTTTTATACTTGCTAGGTTAGAGAAGGACTTCGGGGCATCTGTTGCCAAACAGATGGCAGTTTTCAACATTTGAATAGGACACCGAATATTGATTTCTAGACAGCTGATTTTATGCTGCACTTAATTTATATATAATACATAAGAGGAAAATCAGAAAGGCAGGAATGTAATGTAGTGAGTCGATGTCTTCACAGTGTGAAGGCCAACAAGAGACCAGGCGTATCGGAAGTGAGGACAGCAGGAATGGGGTAGAAGGTTGATGAAAGTTGAGAGCACCTGAAGCACACTGAGAAACTAAATGATGGACACATTTTTCCACTGAAATTCAGTTATGACATAGAATTACTATTTTGCCATCTGTCCATACTGTTGTGAATCACTGAATCTTTTGGAAAAATCTGTAAAACTAGAAACATGGAAAAAGGGAAAAGTGTCTGCTTTTGGTGATGTTAGCAGCRTAGAGAACATGTGTAAGGAATTTCCCGGTGCTGGAGTTCCAAAACATGGAACATATTGACAAATATTCACGTGGCCTTCTCTCAGAACATCCCCTTTACCACATCTAAGGCAYAGGTACTTTAGAAGTATTATAGAATATTTTAGCCTTTGTGTGCGTTATGCTAAGTGATTTTATCACAATAGCATTATAGATGGTAAGCTGCATGAATAATACCTAGTTCATTGCCATGTTTTTAGGTAACTTATTTTGAGAAACAGTCATCACTATATTTATTATATCACCRTCATTATATTTAGTAAAATTTAGTATTATAATTTTTTGTTCTAATGCCTAAACTTTTTTTTTTTTTTTGAACGTACCCATTTTCAGTCTGTGGAGCCTTCATAAGCTGCTAAAGAAGTAGCAAAATAATAAGACTGAGGGAAGCACACACTTGAGCCAAGGGCAGCCTCTCTTTCTACCATATATGACCCTAACATCATGTTTCTATTTTACTCTGAAGGTGTTTTCTGGTTTTCAGTTCATACAAGATCAGAAAGCCCCTGCCAGAACCAGCAATCTATTAATGGCAAAATACTTCAGAAATCTCAGTGGCCATTCAACACTTCTGTGCTGAATCTAAATTTTGTGTTGTAGTAAAACATCTTATTTGATACCATCATCAAGTATTATGACTTGATTTTTGTTATAGATATTTAKCTGAACGACCTTTTAATTCTAAAGTGTTCTTATGGATTTGTAAACTGCCATTACTTTCAATTATTGGTTTGGAATTGATTAACTTAGCAGGATATTTCCTAAGGTTTACATAAACTTAGAGCAAAGAACTCTCTCCTTGGCTGTAGAGAAAGCTCCATATTTTGTTTGCRTTGGCTTCCTTCAGTATAAATAGATATGATTAGCAAAGAGTGTGATAAGAGAACTGCAGAGTTTCTTGCTCAAGGTCATATAACAAGCCAGTGAATAAACACAGACATAAAAATTGCTTTTCTGATTCCTTATCACCTAAGTTGTGCTGTAACTTTGTTACTGCTTTTAAAGTTTTTCAACATTATAATGGGTAAACTTAYCTCAAGTGCAAAATTATATGGTGTGTTTCTATCCTATATTTCTTGAATATGAACCAAAGACACTTTAMTAGTGATGAAACAGTTGCTTATTGAGGTGAAATGAATGTTATCAGTCTGTTATGTGTGTGTGTGTACTTTCAAACTTCTTAGAAGTATATTTCTAAATTTTAAATATTAAATATTAAAAGATAAGCTGTTTGGTCCTTGAAATGTATARCTGCTTTCTTGGATACACTGATTTCTTTGTTTCTGTGAACAAGGGCATTTCAGGGCTCCAGAAGTGGTTGGGTTCTGTGTATAGGAGCCAAAACAGCTGTGATTTATGCAAGAAAAGCTGGTCAGAGGATTACAAAGTTAGCTGGGGAATTGGAGCCTGTCCCCTTTCCCATCASACGTCCCAGTCACTTCAGTTGGGCCACCTCTTATTTCACATGTTTTTTTTTGATCTTTCCTCCTTGCTACAAAATATACATACAAGTACCTCTGTAATATTGTCTGTGCCCAAGGTTTTGTCCTCTGTTTGAAACAGGAAATTTAAAATACTTTCAGCTACAGTGTATAAGGAGTCCCTAGTGTGTTGGTCATTCCTGGGCTTACACCAAGGTGTAGTCTGAGAGTCACAGGAGACACCTGAGGTAAAAAGGCACCTGTGGAGATGACCTTGGCCAAAGGCCTGCTCAGAGCAAGGAGAAGCAGAGCAGCTTGCTCAGGACACGGCCTCTGGGTTTGGAGTATCTCCAGGGATGGAGAGATTGCCGCCCTTCTGGCAGCCCTTTCCTGGTTTGCTAACTCCTGTGCCCGCCAAACTTGGTGGATCGTTCTGTGTTAGTTTAAACATACAAATAAAGAAATCCCTGTGACTGCTTCCAATTTTCAGCAAACCCAACTAGTGTGAGGAGCTGGGCAGTCCAGCCACTGCATATGTGTGAACTAAACTTCATTTTCCTTTTTTTTTTTTTTCTGCAGTTGCTGCTGTAGTGTTATTCTGCACAGCGCGGAGCCCCCATAACATCCCTCTGACTGAAGTGGTCGGGCCCGTGTGGCTCATGCTGCTGCTCGGCACTGTGCACTGCCAGATAGTTTCCACACGAACCCCTAAGCCCCCTCCCAGCACGGGGGGCAAAAGAAGAAGGTAGAGTCTGGGGCAAATATTCCCCATTTCGGGTTGTTAAACTCTTCCGAGGAACATGCATGGAAAAATGTGGGAGTTTGTAGTCTGGGCTTTGCAAGGGATGAGTAAATGATGCTCTGCTTTTGTCTGAAAGTTTAAAATTGACACGTAAATTGCAGTTTTCCTATTTAAAATCTGTGATGAACTAACTTAAATGAATGCTTTAAAGTTAACTTTTAATGCATTGAATCTGACATTTTGCCTCAAAGAAGCTTGTAATTGAATGTTAGTGGTGTTGAACTATTTCTAAATTTAGTTTTAGAGCTTCATAGAGAAATGATTAATGATTTTTGTGGGAAGTGTACATGAAAAAATGTGGTTGGGAACATAGAAATTAAGTCTTAGCACTTCATTGAATATGTTTTGCTACAGTGAGTTTGTCCCATTAAAATGGGAAAACCTGCAGTAAGTTTTTCATATTTTGCAGGTTAAAGCCTCTCGTGATCAGTTGAAATATATCTTGGCTTTATGAAATATATCCTTGTCTTAAGGGTTATAAAAATGAATGATTGCTATGCTAAGCTTTATTAAATGGTGTTTATTAAATCAACATGATAAACCTTTAGCAAAGCATTGATATATTGCTGCTTTTTTGCATGCTTAAAACTGCTCAACACCTTATAGAACTAATAGATTGCATTTATAAAGCTACCTTCCCATTTTAATCTCTCCTAATGAAGGAAATTAAGGAGAGCAGCACATTTGGAAGTACATAGGGAAGGAGATGGCTCTAGTACCACAGATAACACGCAGGAGGGAACAGTGCAGAGCTACGGTACAAGCACCTCTTACAGTATTGGCGCTGTCTTCAGAGATATCTGGCATGCTGCTTTCTTTTTATCAGGGTTTGTATTTATTTAAGGCTATATATGTGTCAGAGATGCACTATCCCTTTTCTGAAAGAGTAAACATTGATCTAATGATTAGATAAACCTCTATTGATCCAGATTTGGTTTGTTTTTTGGTAGTAAATTGAACGCAATATTTGAACATGACTGTGTTCTTGTCCTTCACTTTGCATATGCTGATGCATCAAAGTTCAAGACATACAGAATTATCTTTCTCTTCTGTTTGCCTTTTGTTTGTGCATGAGGTAATATTTTGATGCTGGGGTTTTCTGTGTGGGCTACGAAAGATGAACCAATTTAGTTTCTTTTAATCCAGTCAGAAAATTTGACTGTTTAATTTTTACTTGATTGCTTCTAATTCTCTGACAGAATTTTTATAGATGTCTATCACTGTCACCAAATTGCGTACTTTTTTTGGATGAAAAGCCTTCAAGATTCAAACATGCACAAAGTATAGTTTACAAGTAAACACTGAGCGTGCATTTTTTTAATGATTGGAAGAAACACCTATCGTTATGTTCTAGAGCTGTTTGCTCGTGCAGTTCTCTAGGCATTAAAAAAAAGCTTTTAAGTAACCTGTAATATAGATGTGTGAGCTCTATACACTTATTAGCACTTATTAACAGAGAAAATATACTCAKGGTATGAAATGAAGAAAAGGGATACTGCAGGTTATGTTGATGTTTTGTTGTGCATGTTACATCTTACATATTGTGACACTAACATGTTTGTCATACTTGTAATATGTGCTCCTAACCTCTGGTGAGGCTTATCTTGTGTTATGTTACATACTGAGAACACCTAATTGCAGCTCTGGAGAGCATTTCAAGATATCTAAAAATAAGGAGAGGGGAGATAATTCTGTTTTTCACTAAGTAGGTTAAACTAGATCTGACAAACAGAGTAGCATGAGATACCTCTACTGTTCTTTGCGTAAACCCACTTGTAAATGAATTCTTCTGTGTATGYGTTATTATTTTCTAGGATATGTAGACTGTGATTTTGCAAACTTTTGAATGTTTTCTGTGTTCAGAGAAGACAGTCATTTGCTTTAAGAAAGCAGGCATTAGTAGGGATTTTTTTTTTTTTTCCTTCTCTTTCCCTTTTTGTTCCCTTGGGGGCATAAGGAGCCCTTCCAGTTAGCAAATGTTGTGTGTTTAGGATTTTTTTAAACCTTTTTGCGACTAGTATACATAGATTTTAAGCCTCAGTGATGACTACTTAACACATGCACCGTCTCCAAAGGATGAAGAGCATAAAGTGACTGAGAAAGTTTTCCCATCTGGCAACACTGATCCTTCAAGCTGCTATAAGTAGCTTTTAGTCACTTGTTGCCTATTCATTTTTAGAGACACAGATCTGGGTCTGTCAGGAGGGAGAACCATGTCAGGAACTTGTCCAGCTGAAAAGGAAATTGTATAGTGTTGTATAGTGAATTAAAGTTTGTCATTTTGATTTAGAACTTTTTTTTGCAAATCATTTTCCAGAGTTTTAAGTGGAATCTGTAGTTTTAAATACACCATGAAACATCCTAAACATCTTGCTGTCCTTTTACCTTTGTAAGTTTATAATAAAATTATAACTACAGAAATACATAATAATTCCCAAGAGCGTTTTTGATGGTTTTGTGCTTTTTTATTAAGAAAAATACACTTGACTGAGAACTCTGGGAACATGTCAAGGAATAGCAGGAAAATTCTGCAGTGCAGCTTCCCAATTGAAGCTCTGGTTACTTGGTGCTTCATACAAGACCAAAAAACCCAAAGAAGTTACAATTATTTTCCAGGAAGGAGTAGAGTGTCCATAATCTAAGAGATGATGGATTTGTTCTATTTTATTGAGTTCTCCCCAGCCTCCTTGTGTTCAGGTCTCCCTCGTGTATGTAAAACACCTTGTATCAGGAAGGGTATGAGGCAACTATTCTGATTCATAAGATGTGCATATTAAAGAGTAATCCAATCTTCTGCTGGGTAATCCAATGCAAGACAGAATGTCTACCTCATTAAAGACAAGGGTGCTGCATATATTGTAATTTGTTTCACTACTGTTGAGTCTTGCTGGATGGATTTCAGCCTCTTGTTGTAGAAGAGGTCACGTCTTCAGCTYGTAGACTCTAGGATCTGCTTTCTTACCTCGTTTTATCCTTATGCCTTCCCCTGGAGTTTGATGCAGCACAATTCAGTGCTATTCAAGGATTATTAACTGCAGCACCTTTAAAAAAGAAAAAAAGAAAAAAGAAGAAAAAAGGTTTTAGTGTTCACATTAAAGGGAACAATGTGATAATCTTCCTGCATCATAGAGTTTCCCCATAAGAGGACATGTGTAAGATCAATCGGGCAGCTTCTGGGTAACTTATCTAGTGTCCAGAGTGCTTCACTTTCATTTAAAAATACATATATATTCTGGAAAATKAAGATTTATGCTGCTTTTTCTCTTTTCTCCCAAAGAATTCTGAGAGTATCTGCTCATATCAGTTTGAGCTGGTTTTAAAAGGCAAAGCAAAATACGAGATTTTCACTGCTCTCTAGGTAAAGATTTTCCATGTCACTTTGTGATATAGAAACTTAGGTGAAATTTGGATTTCTATATGGTCTCCCCTATCCATAGGTTAACAAGCTTCTACGTTAATTTCTTTACCAATTGTGCGCCCTAATTTGGGGGAGCAGTTATATCCAGACTCCGAGCATGCTGTTTTCTGACCCTGCACATTCTTGTTACTGCATCTGTTCACTAGAGAAGGGCTGGATTTTTACAGGAAGAGGATTCATGAAGTATTGGTAGTTTCCTCCTAATTTATTTGAGCACAAAGTGATTTTGTGATTTGAAAACAGGCTTCATTACTGCGTTTGGAAGATATATCTGAATATTTGGTCAGTGGTATTATTGAGTAATATGGGAAGGCATAAATCATCTCTTTGGCAGACTTGTCAGTAAGCAGAGTGATTAAAAGACAAATCTGTGTGTCTGAAGTAGTAAAATGAAGCTCATTTCCAACTTTAAGAAATGGCATTTTTTTGAATTAATAACATTTAAAGAAAGTTTAGCATACTTCATTTTTTCCCTTCTTTTTAGTTAAGATAGAATATGAAGTTTCTGATTTATATTGTCAAATGGTTGCTAGGACATTTTAATCGTGAAACACAGSTTGCCTTTTCTCTTCATTGACTTGTTATATAATTTTCTTTCAAACACTGTTTATTTTGCAAAACTATTTGTAATAAAAAAGTAACAGACATTATTTGGAAAATGCAAAAATTACAAATATTCCGTCAAGTTTTAATTTTGTTCATTAGTTTGCATTTGTACTAGTAGTAAAACTAAAACACAGGTAGAGGAGAGTAAACAGAATGTCAAAGTTAAAAAAAATAAAGCCTGAAAAATTCATTAATTCTCTGCCTATATTTGTTTCAAAAATAGATCTAAGAAAGCAAAGAACTCAATAGATAAATCAACAGAGACTGACAACGGATATGTCTCCCTCGATGGGAAAAAGACAGGTAAAAGCAGTGAGGATTTTGTCCAGGCCCACGGGCAGCCCTGTGAAGTGATTAAGCCAGAAGAGCCGGGGTGGAGCACTGCAGCAGTGAAAAACACATTCAACAACCATAGTCATCACAAAGTAAGTGCGTGTTCTTGCTTATTAGTGTGTCACATTCTGTGTCATGTATACTTAGGATGCTTTTAATGGATTATCATTTCTTTTTTTATGTAAGATGCTTCGAAAATGGAAGCTTGGGAACAAAGTGATGTTTATAAGTCTCTATTTTATTCTTAGTTTCTGCATTTYCTTATCCCTGTACAGATCTCCTCTTTACAAGCACACCATCAAAATTGCGTTGTTGGATTTCAGTAAAAGAAAAAAAAAAAAAAAGAGATGTCTCCATGTCAAACATCAAAATATTACAAAAGGGAAAAGATTAAAAATGTTATTTCGTCTTTTCTTGATAAAAATTGAGGAAATATTTGCTTTCCTAGGTAACTTCACCATGCRAAAGGGAAAAAGGGACAGCTTTTTTAGAAACATTGCTTAAAATTCCATGGTGTTAATTTCTCTGGATACTCTCACTGATACTTCATTTCTGATGAATAATGGAGCATAAAGAAAATGCAGAYCAGAATCTCAAGACGGGGGCGAATTTGTATCTCCTGTGTCCTGTAGGAGGGCCCCATCTAAATGTCCCTACTGCAGCACCCAAATTTATGTGCTGTCTTTACCTACAATTTCTTCTAGAACTGCTGAACTTGTGGCCAAGGAGGCCAATGGGCTCCTGGCTGCWYCAGGAGGATGTTGCCAGCAGGGGCAGGGAGGGGATCCTGCCCCTCTGCTCAGCTCTGGGGAGGCCGCACGTGGAGTATTGGGGGCAGCTCTGGGCTCCCCAGGACAAGAGGGACGTGGAGCTCCTAGGGAGGGTCCAGCAGAGAGCGACAGAGATGATGAAGGGACTGGAGTATCTCTCATGTGGGGAAAGACTAAGCGAGCTGGGCGTGTTTAGTGTGGAGAAGAGAAGACTAAGAGAGGATCTGATGAATATGTCTAAGTACGTGAGGGAAGAATGTAGGGAGGAAGGGGCCAAACTCTTCTCGGTGGTGACCAGTGACAGGACAAGGGGTAATGAGTGCAAGTTGAAACCCAGGCAGCTCCATGTGCATGTGAGGAAGAACTTGTTTGGTGTGAGGGTGCCAGAGCCCTGGCCCAGGCTGCCCAGGGAGGCTGTGGAGTCTCCTTCTCTAGAGATCTTCCAAAGGCGCCTGGATGCCGCCCTGTGCCCCGTGCTCTGGGTGTCCCTGCTGGAGCAGGAAGGCTGAACTAGATGATCTCTAGGGATCCCTTCCAGCCTCAACCATTCTGTGAACACATTGTTCCTTTTCCTTTCTCTTTTACTACTGCTAGTGCAGGCCTGTGGTTTTTTTTTTTTTTTTTTTTGCTAAATTCCACAGCACTGGCAACTTGCACGTTTGTGACCTTTCTGAGCATTTACCTGTGAATCACCTTCCTATTCCCTTCTTTTCTTTTGGTTGATCTCTCTAAAAGATGAGGAAAGCTGCATTTCCCTGCTAATGAAGTAGGCATGGTTTCTTGTAGGAGGAAAGATGAAAGAGGTGGAGGCAGTGGTGGTGAAAGACATCACGAAGTTTTACTCAAGAAGGACATTTCATTTGGGATTCCAGAGCTAGATCATTTACCAAGCCCATGAAGATCCTTATGATGAAGTCAGAATGGTGGCCATGAAGGTTCATCTGATGCCAGAAGCTTCCTTGGCTCTTGCTGTATGGGAGATGTTCCCTCAGCACTGATTGTAACCCAGATGCAGCTGTCTCTGTCAATTCTAAACATTTTCAGTTTTGATAAAATTCAACAAACCAATATTTTAAAAATATTAAAATTTAAAAAAATTAAAAAGAGTTTTTAGATTTTACGGGTTTTACATTTAAAAGAATGAAATCTTGTCTCTGTTTAGCTTTCTTGGAGTGTACACATATATCTCTAAGAGAAGTATAGAATAGGCTCCCCTTTCTCTCCTTCATCTCATCCCTTCTTCCAAAAACTGACATATTTTGTCAGTGCTGCGACAGGTTGTCCTGTGAGTTGCTCTTTGCTTGTGCAAYTCAACTGTTGAAGTAGCAGAAACAACCTGAGCTTGAACCATCTCAGAAGACAACACTCATCATGGAAGAGGGAGTGACGCCTAAAAGTCTCTGTGTTCATAGATAACTACCTCACATCTTCTGTCCTTGGAGCATTTCACTTACAACAGAAAGACTCCAAAGGAAATTCCATGGTGTCTTATTTTGCAATCACATATTTTTTTTAAAAAAGTGAAAATATATGAAAATTTTACAAAGTTGAAGGAGCTGTGCTTCCCTGTCTTTTTCCCTGTAAGGGCTGCTTTTGTTTTGACTTAAATAAGGGAAATGGAAAGTGAGGAAAAAATAGGAATCTGAGTATTTTACAGGCTCTCTGTAGCACTTCACAGCTGGAAGAGGAGGTACACACAACTGCTTTGTGCCRTATGTGCTGATAATTGAATGTTATGGTGTCTGCTGTCATAATTTTGTTTTTTCTTCTGTACATGTTGCTTCTGTATATGTTTGTTCCCGGAAATATTTCTTTTAGACAAACTTGCATTTAACATAAGAATGTCAGAAGTGTTCTTCAGGGCAATGAACTACCCTTTATTCTCCGAGAAATGCTTGTTTTGATATTTCTGTTTCTATTTGATAAAATTTGCCGTAACATTCGTTTTTTACAACTGAGAATCCAATTTTTTTTATTCAAATGACGATTGATAACGATGTTGCAGAAAAGAAAAGAAGATTTTAATAGTTCAGCACAAGACTTGGTGTGAGTGCCTGTCTTACTAAGACCATATTGTTTGAACTAGGATACTCACAGGACAGTAGCTAATTTATCGGATGAAGTTTCAAGTGAGGAGGGGCCCGAAACTGGCTATTCCCTGCGGCGCCACGTAGAGCGCACGTCCAGTGACTGCACCGTGCGCAACAGGAAATCTCACCATTACAAGAAACACTACCCTTTGGAGGTATGTGCTTTGCTCTTGCCTCTTCTATGTAGAATGTCAACAACTTTCTGCATCTGTATATTCTTTTTTCCCTCAACCTTTGCATTTTAGGAGTCTAATAATTGGAAATCATGTTCTTGGGAGAAAGAGGTTTTTTTCCCCAGATAACAACTATTATTATTATTATTATTATTATTATTATTATTATTATTATTATTATTATTATTATTATTATTATTATTATATTTCTTTGAACTTCATTTTATCCATTTTGTTGTGTGTTCTGAAATACCTTCTTTAGATCTCTCATCAGAGCATGGCTAACTATTGATGTCTTTCGACACTAGTTCTCTTCTGGAGACTCCATTTTTTTAGGGGAACATTTTATAATGATGATTTTATAATAGGAAAAAAATTCTCTTTTTCTCTCTCTCTTTGGCAATCTGATAATTGGTGTATTTTTGTTATTTCACATTTTCCTGATGGTGTTTGTTCTTTGGTGTCCATTTAGTTTGTAGCTTTCTTCAGGAGAAGTCTTAATAGAAGAGGTTGACTATTCCTCTGCATTTTTCATTTCTCTCTGTTTATTAAAACARTCATTTGAACTATTGCTATGAAATYCAATCATTGTTCTTACTGTATTGSAAAAAGAACACAAAAAATACTGAAATTTTAAGAGTCTAGAAGACATCAAAGCTAACAATAGGGATACTCAGATTGAAAGAAAAAGTGTCTCTCTTTTCCTTCTATTTTAAGAAGTTTACAYCCTTTTTACTGATGGTATGCAGCCTAACAGGAGGAATTTTTGTGTTTAGAAACAGGCTATTTATGTCAACTTTTCTCCCAGGACTGTGGGAAAAGAATGTAAAGAGTAAATACTGCTCTGAATAGATGCCACTTACAGCTGGGTTTAAGAGGGAGCAGCTCCTGCTCAGTAAGCACCTTCCTAGAAGGTCCAAGTCATACTGCTTTCTGGGATGACTACTACAAAGCATTGAGATATATGCTTTACATAAAAAGCATAATTATTTTCTGTTTTGTGTGTGTGTGTGTGTGTGTTTCATAGAAGCCTCATTTAGAAAGCTCTAGAGGGCTAGCTGTTTGAAATGTTCTGTGCGTAAGGCATGGGTTATGTAGTTTAAGATAAGTAACTTAAGAGAAATACTTCAGATCCATATTTCAGCAGGTCTCTTTTGACTGTGTACTCATGCAGCTACTAGGATTGGACATGAAGAAATGGAGGGCAAGAACAGCAGTCACATTTTTTCAGGTTAAATATATATTTTTTTCTTGTATAAAGTATTTTAGAGTTTGAAAACTGAAGATACTGGCTAGGGAGGAGTGTGCAGAGCTGAGGAACTGAGGAGGCAGCCTTGGCAGTAGCACTTGACACAYGTTGCTCATTTGCTTGTGTCTGATGCCATAAAGAGGAGGCCTTCAGTTGTTGTTACCAGCTCTTACCCCACATATCTACACAGCAAATGAAACAGAAGTGCTCAAAGCCATGAATGCTTTCTTTGTGTTTAAATATATGTATATTTTAGTGTAGAAGTTGGTGGATACATTCCTGACTTCTGCAGTAAGTTTTCCTTTATCTTCATGTTTCTCAATTGTTGTTTTAGCAAATGTTTTCATGGTTGTTATTCACTCAGGACTCGGTGGTACCCTGTAATGACTGTGCTGTGTGGGGAAAAAAAATTTTAGTTATTTTTAAGAATGGATAATAGTTCACCTATTGTCTTTCTGCATTGAGGTTATCTCCCACTTGTGAGAGAAAGGACTAGAGTTCAGAGCAAGTAATTTCTAAATATTGCTTTACAATATTGCTCATAGAAGATAAATTAAGCATGATTTTTAGTAAGAACAGAGAACTCTTCAAATAGAAGTGTATTAAAAAGCATATTAAATTACTAATCCTGCAGAAATTGCTTGGGTTTTTTTTTTTTTTTTCTAGTTTAGAAAAGTGGGTATGTTCTTCAAAAAAGACATGAAATAAATTTTGCTTTAAGAGGGAATGAGAATTGCCAGGGGGTGGTGGTGAGTAGAAGGGTGCTGCTTTTAAGACTAACAACATTGTAGGAAACCACTTGATTCTGATAGCAGATTCARGGCTCTTTGTTTCAAAGAGAACATTAGATTGTTTTATATATAAATATGGAGGGATTTCAATGCCTCGAATCTGATATTTTTCTGTAGGATTATCTAAAGATGTGGGTAAAATTTGAGCATAAGAAAAGACGCTTGCTTCTTGACTACTCTTTCTTAAAATAAACAACTAAAATGTTAGGTATGAAAGTGTAAATTACATATAGACCGAATATTGGTCAGTATACTTGGGTCTTGGTTCCTTCTATCCTCAGTTTGTATGGATGGAGCTGATGAGATAAGAGGCAACAGCAGCTCTCTCCCCTTCATGTTGCTTTCATCCAAATGGTTCTCTTTTTGTGGATTTGTGTGTGTGAATTTGTTTAAAATATACAATAAGCAAAGAAAGACATTTTGATTACTACCTAAGTAGTTCAGCCAAAACCACTGGAGACAGAAATTCAAAATACCAAGTTAATTAAAATAATTTGTGATTGACACTTTTCTCATTTGCAGTCACATTATTACAATTGCAATCTGGTGAATATGACTTGAAGTCTCATTTTTGTCTTGCTCATTGTCACCGGAATAATGAAGTTCTAATTAATGCATTTTTAAAAGAAACTTAATTTATATCTTATGAAATCAGATATTTGAGGCATAATTGTATTATGTGACTGTATTAATTGCTACTGAAATTTGAACTAATGAGTTTTAGAAATCTGAAAAATGCTTCTTGCCTTTTAGTAGTTTTTAGTAGTATTTGATTCTTCATTATATGACCCCTTCTCAACAGATCAGGGACTACAGACTATCCTATGGTTGTGTTGTGTCTAACAATGTGCAACCATTCTCTTTGGCACTTTTTCACTAAGCATGTACTACTGTTTGATTAGAAATATAATTGATCGGAACAGAAAAAGTAGATAAACACGGATTGACTTTGTTTGGACTTTATAACTAGGCTCTTGATAAGAGTGTAGAGTACAGGAGCTGCGTTAATGCCAGTGCTTAACTGAATTCCAGGACACAGCCAAGTCAGGGACCAGCTGCAGTTCTCGGTGCTCAAGCTCCAGACAAGACTCGGAAAGCGCCAGGCCGGAGTCGGAAACGGAGGACGTGCTGTGGGAGGACCTGCTGCACTGCGCCGAGTGCCACTCCTCCTGCAGCAGCGAGAGCGACGTGGAGAGCCCCCAGCTGAACCCCGGCGCCAAGAAGGAGTATCGGGACGACCCCTTTCATCAGGTGGGTTGGTGACGTTGCTGGCTTTGGCTTTTACCTCACATCCACTTTCCCTCTTATCGGAAGTTCAGGAGACCTGTGGAGATGAACTCCGTGTTAAAGGAAAGCAGTAAGGCCAAAATGATTTAATAAAACAGGGAATCGTGGATTTCTACACAGAATCACAGAATATTCAAGGTTGGAAGGGACCWCTAGAGATCATCTAGTCCAACCTTCCCGCTCAAGCAGGSACACCTAGAGCATRKGGCACAGRGYGGCATCCAGGCGGGTTTTGAAGACCTCCAGAGAAGGAGACTCCACAACATCCYTGGGCAGCCTGTTCCACTGCTCTGTCACCCTCACAGTAAAGAAGTTCCTCCAAGTTCCTCCAAGTTCGTACAACTCAGTCCTTAATGTGTCAGTTGAAGCATAGACAATATGCTGAAATGGCCTGTGGAATATTTCACTATTTGGATATTAACTCTAAATGAAAATTCTAATTCAAACTAAGAAACTAATTCAAAATCCCATTCGGGACAGATACCAATTGATTTACAGTTCCTGTGTTGTTGGGGTTTTTTTGTTTTTGTTTTTTTTTCTCCTACATGTTTTTTTATTTGAACCATTTAAATAAAGAGATATCTAAGATAAGAGAATATTAAACATTCTTCTGGCTAAACATGTAATAAATGTTGGTAGTGCATAAACCATAAACCACTGTTAAGGAATATATTGTAAGTGATAGTGTTAATGCTAGCTAAACTAATAACAAAAAAAAAAAAATTCAAAAGACACCAGTTTTCAGAAAACACAGATTTTACTTGCAGCCTGAACTTAAAATGAGATCTGTGTCGATTATTTGATTTATTTTTAGGCTTGTTTACATTCCTTATAAACATATAAATATAAACATAAACGGGAATTCTTTGAGTACAGAGTTGAATTTGTTGTCTGCAGTTGTGTTTTTTCATTCTGGATTGAGTTTTTGAGTTTTAACTCCTGGGGGTTGCTGCTCCCTCTAGAGGAGACACTGGAGGCTGTAATTAAGAGGAGCTTTCTGCAGCTCCTGCATTGATCAGACTCCTAAGGCGCTGCCTGAGTTCTGCCAGATGGAGTTACCATAGCACACCTTTATCCAGAACAAGGATTCTTTYTAATAATAATAAAGAAGTTGGCCTTAAGCACAACCTAAGAGGACTGTTTTTCAAACTGCTGTTAATCAGAAAATAAAATATTTTATTATATAATTGTGAAAATAAAGCTGGTTATAAGTAGATCTTTTCCATACCTCCCTCTTTGATATGTCTGAGCAATAAAGTTGAATATTAACCTTATTAACCTCAACTAACTGGAGACTARTATAAACAATATGAGGAAAGGGAATTCTCTGTTTCTGTACAGCATTTGAATACATATATATATATATATACATTTAAGGAATACTGTAGGACAAAAATGTAATGTGATAAGAAATGTAATCCCTTCTACTTCACTCCATAAACAGGACTCCTGGTCAACATTTGTTGAATGTGTCTTACCATAGATTATACTAAGTGATACCCAGCAATATTTATATATGGCTAAAGGCTTTTTCTGCCAGTATGTTGCTGACAAAGATGTAGTGACACAAGAGTGGATGTTTGTTGCTGATGGAATGTCTTGTCTTCCCCAGAGTCACTTGCCCTGGATCCATAGTCTGAATCCAGGACTGGAAAAGATAAGTGCAATCGTATGGGAGGGTAATGACTGCAAGAAGGCAGATATGTCTGTACTTGAAATCAGTGGCATGATAATGAACAGAGTGAGTATTCTTTTCACTTTATGCAAATATTGTATTTAGAGTCTAAACACTGACAAAATGACTTCTTAAAAAAGTGTTAGTGTTACTGTTCCATGGTTTACATCACTGATTTCTTTGCTACCACTATTTAGTTACCAGAGCTACCAAACTTGGAGTAGGAGACMATAAAGATATGTTTGCATTTTTGGGTACTTACTAACATAGTTATCCCTCTTTTATTATTCAGAAGTGGTGTATTCCACAGATTTTATTTGTGCCTTCAGCTGCTACAAACAGCTAGTATGTTGAGTTAGAAATACATCAGAAATACAGGTGTGAGTGTTAGGATGCTAAAGTTAAGTGTGAGGAAGTGTTTGTTAAAGAAGCAAACATCTAAGAGAAGCAGTGGGATGTCTGACTTCTTCCCTTTCTAGGAGTTTTCCAACTGTGCCTCTTGAGAAATAGGAAAGCATTTAATTTATATTATATTTCAGTCCAGCATCTTGTAAGGCTGAACCCCAAATCCGAGCATAGCTTAGGAGAGCTACCAATAGCTGTTACAGACTGCTGCTTCCTTTCTGCACCCTCTCAGAAAGCAGGATTGTGTCCACAGGCTTCGTACGGATCTTTCTATCTGACTTTTCATAGAAGTAAATTCTAGCAAAGACATGGCCAGCATCGTGAACCTCCGGTTTTGTCTGCTCTATAAACACTTTGGCAGACAGGATTCCTTTAAAAAGCATATGACCTAAAAGCAAAACCCTAATAGGGGTGAGATTTAGGTCAGAATGACTGGTGCTCTTTGTTAATTCAGTGGTGGAGGCATTTTTAATACAATGTATTAGAGTATTATTGCTGCAATGTTATATTTTTAATGATATATAATGGCTATCTTATTAACAATTAATGGTTTTTAATGATTTGTGATACTTGTTTGCTGTGCATTAAGCGCTCTTGCTTCATTCTGTGCTGCTATCTTTAGTTTAATCCATCTTTAAGGGACTTCCTTTTTCTTAGAAGCAAATTGTGAACGTGCTTGGTTGGAATTTTCATACACAGTATGAAGTTATAAAATTAATCCTTTTAATAGTAAAGTAGTACTATCAGTAAGGACAAGATTTACTACAAAATTAAAGATTTTTTGTTAAATTTTTGCTTTTGTTTCTAGGTGAACAACTACATACCAGGAATTGGTTACCAGATTTTCGGAAAYGTCGTATCATTAATCCTGGGTTTGATGCCATTTGTCTTTCGCCTCTCCCAAGCTAAGGATTTGGAGCAGCTAGCTACACATTCTGCCACTGAACTTTGTATTATTGCATTTGGGTCAAATGGAGACTTGCTGGTTCTCTCAATGGTGGTTATAAGTTTTGTAGTCCGCGTGTCTCTAGTGTGGATTTTCTTTTTCCTGCTGTGTGTGGCAGAGAGGACATACAAACAGGTATGGATAACGAGTCAAGATGTCTCAGYCAGAGCAAAACAAATGATTATGTTTGAGTTCTGTTGACTTGTGAATATTTACAACTTGTATTTTTCATGTGTTAGCACCCAACTTGTGCTAAGGTTTATAGATGAACTTATGACAAATACTTCAGTGGGTTTTACAGAGAAGAGGTTTATTCAGTTGCAGCTTACAGAAGTTTTCCACACTCTGAGTAGCTRCTTTTTCTTCTGGAAAGCGTTTTTGAGGGAAAATGTGTGTTTCATTTCAGATCTCTGGCTCAATTTCTTGATCAGCTTCTAGTCACGTCCTAGGTTGTCTCAGTTCTCCACAAGGAGAAAGTTTCAGCAAAAGAACTCTATGCATTTTTGATATGTTCCAACAATGTGTTTCATTCAAACCAGTTTTATTTCAAAGCAGTTCAGTCCAGACCTTAGCCAAGAGCCCCTTCTACCTTGCTAGGATCCCTGTTCCAAGGAAGAGACACTGAGAGAGCTGCTAACTGAAGTAATAAACATGTTAAACTTATTGCAAGTTATGTGCAATTAAAGTTTCAGATTTTTTTCTTTGCAGCGACTTCTCTTTGCCAAACTCTTTGGTCATCTAACATCTGCCAGAAGGGCAAAGAAGTCAGAGGTTCCTCACTTCCGTTTGAAGAAAGTACAAAATATAAAAATGTGGCTTTCTCTCAGGTCCTACCTAAAGGTATATACTCTTTCCTACCCCTCTCATACAAAACAGGTTGAGATGAAATCTGCTATGAATGATTTTAGAATTAGATAAAGGATGATAACAACATAAAGTTACAGTGTAAAAAGCAGGAAACCATAAGCAGAAGTTTTTAATATAAAGCTCCAAATTAAGTTTAAAAGATGACATTATTTTCAGAGGACTTTAGGCAATGCATTTACAAGCCTGACAAGTATCCCATCCCTTGCATTCTGGAAATTTCTGTTGAGGATGTTGCAAAAAGAGGTGTCTTTTAACCAGCACACTTGAGAGACTTTCATCTTTTTCTGTGTAATCTGTAAGGAGTTGAGTGGGAGGAAAGAAAGGTAACACTGCTTAGGCAAACACTGCCTGAGAATGAGTTCRGATGCTTCAAGCTACATACACCAGTGTTGCTGTTGAATGTCTTGCCTTCTTTCCCCAAACTCTGCAAGTGAATTTCATCTCTTCTTGCACCACCACAAATGTTTGTATAATAGTAGTGAACGACAACAAAAGAACAGCTGTATCGGACCCTGTCCAACAGTGCTCTGAAGCAGGTGTGCAGGCACCTGATCAAACTGAAAAATAACCTGTTGAGAATAGTAATTTTCACCTCCATCTGTTGCTGTGCTTGGTTCACTGCGTGGTTGATATGTGAATGCTTGTGGCAGTGCAGTGAAAGGTCTGGGGAGGAAGAGCTGGGAGCAAGGCCACCTTCTCTCTGTGATGCTGCTGGACTTAACGCTTGTCCAAAATATTCCTGCATATTCTTTGCAAAGACAACAACAAATGCACTAAATGGTGTTCTTTAGTATGAGTACTGCATGTGAATATTCGATTCTACCTTTATTCTCAGGCCTGGTAGTCTTCAGGATTTGGTGATTGAGAGCAATGAGTCTGATACTACCAATTTGTTTGTATTTAAGCCAAACTGTCTCTTTGGTCTCACTGATTTGATACTTGGTAAGGCCCAGTGCCATATTGAATTTGTTCAGAGAATATTGCCTAAATGTAGACTACTTCATACAGCAAAGGAGCTGACTGAAAAAAATAATATTTTATTTTCTTGTAGTTTCCTTGAATTGCCTTTGTTGGGTTAATCTCATATTCCTTGGAGGGTATTCAAATGCASCTATATTATTTGGTTCTAATAATGTGTTTGGAACTTAGATTACAGAACTGCAAGCCAGGATGAAGTTTGGTTCTAGGTGGGAATCCAGGTGGATCCATCAAAGATCAGTGCTGACGAGGTAATTTTTCTCCTCTTTTCAGCGTCGAGGTCCTCAGCGCTCCGTTGATGTCATAGTTTCATCTGCCTTCCTACTGACCATCTCAGTTGTATTTATCTGCTGTGCACAGGTGAGGAAATCTTCATTGCATAGAAACAGCCATAATGTAGATTACTTCAGAAAAGGATCAATCGGCCACCWTTTGCATGATGACTCCTGCTAGCGTGAAAGACCACGTGAAAATGAGTAACAACTCTCAGAGCTTTTCAGAAGATTAAGTTCCATTTATATTATTTTTCCTATATTAGAATATTAATTATACTAGCCATCCTGCAAAAGCTGAAGACAACTATTGGCAGCATAATTTCTAGTGTGATATAAGTATTTTTCTAATCAGTATTTTCTTTCATTGTCCCTCTTAAATTTTGGGAAAGGGATTTTTGCAAYGTTTTGCATCAAAACCTACTTTTACCACCCCTCCACAAAAATACCCTTCCAGATTGACCTTGGTTGCTGTTTTCTCTGTGGAAAGGAGGGAACGAGGTGGTTGGCTGTGTTCGCTTGCCCTCTAGTGGGGTTTCTGGCAGGAAGGAAACTTGGCTTCAGTCGAATTTCAGTACCTGGGAAGATGGCTTGAGATTCTGTTTCAGTGTGCAGGGAAGCTTCTGGATGCCTTTGGTTCTAGTTTTCTTCCCCTTTCTTCCCCAGTTAACATTAATGTGTTTTCCTGGTGGTTAATTATAAAAGAAAATAACAAAAATTTAATTTAGTGGTGATTCTACTTGGATTCGGTTTTCCATATAAATTAGTATATTTGTAGATGTTATTTTGTTTTTCATTCCATATAGTGTCTTCAAAAGCTTGAACTTGAATTTGAAATTATATGTTTTCTTTTTTAGAAATACGAAAAAAAAGACATGGGCCTTGCAGAGTACACATTTCTCAAACCTGATAACATTTCCAGGAAAAGCTCATCTTAAACAGAATGTTGATTTTTTAAAATTTACTTGAAAAATCTTTTATGCTTAAATATAGGCACAATATTTACTACTAGTGAATTTTTTTCTTAGATTTGTGTAGTATATAACTCTTCTGATGGGGTAGCATAAATAGTACTCTRAATTCAACTTTGATTTTTCTCTTTTTCTTTCAGCTACTTCACATGCATGAGATCTTCCTTGATTGTCACTACAATTGGGAGCTAGTAATTTGGTGCATTTCACTCACTCTTTTTCTCCTAAGATTTATTACTCTTGGATCTGAAACCAGTAAAAAATACAGCAATACCTCAATATTACTTACTGAGCAGGTGAGAGTCTGACATAACTTTTTGTGCTGCAGGGTTTTTCTAGTCTTAATCTCTTGAGTTTGAGAACATAGTGGGGTGGAGTGGCATTTTACAGGAAAGCTTGAAATGTTTAGGATATCTGAAACAGAATAACAAGAAATAATAAAAATAACAAGAAATGTTCACACAAAATTATAGGAAACTGTTTTTTTTATTTGTTTGTTTTGAGATGTTTTTAAGCAGCAGTCAGCATAAACAGCATGGTATATATTCCATTTAGTTACCAGCTTGCAAGGTAAAGTCGTAGCAAGTCATTTACTTAAAGCCTTCAGAGTCTCACTTATTATCATTTTAATCAAAATCTTTCATAAATAGGCAAATCATTCCTTTGCCTCTGGGAGTTTTTTGCACTCAATAACAAAAAAAATAATTTTTGTTACTAAATGAACTTCAGGCTGATTGCCAGCCCCCCTTAGTTTTTCTGATGAAAGTAATATGGTATGTTAATGCTATTTAGTACTCTTTCGGCTCTCATTTTAAGGTCTTAGTTTAAAATATTCTTCAGAAATAGCTCAGTTCTACTYGAACAGAATAAATATTTAACATAGTAAATGTAATGTTACTTGAGGTGTGCAGAAAGAAACCAATCTGAAACTTAACCTCTCTAGGTTGATAGTCTCTTTTCCAGCATTACTCCTCAGACTGAAGCAGGCTGTTCCTTGCTTTTATGTCTGTTTCTTTAACTGGACATTCTTGATTTCCTCAGGGTTATTTACTAAAGGCTAATGTGTAGTGTGAAAAATATGAAGAGAGTTTCACAAGAGAAATTCATTTGCTTTCCAGTATATGTCAGGACTGTTGTGTTATAGGCAGACCATACTTGCTCTCTGCTTTCCTGATTTATTTTTGTTTTTGTTTTTGTTTTTTTGTTTTTTTGTTTTTTTATTTATTTAGACAGGCAAAAGAGGCTTGGAAGAAGGCTGTATCTGTCTGTTCTCCCTTTCAGGCTGGATAGCAAGGCACATGCCTCATAACTTCTCCAGCCACCAGCACCGAGTTGAAAGATTTGGGCAGGCAGGCACCCMAGATACAGTCTTTTGCAACCAAGATACAGTCTGCTATGAGCAGTCTGACTTCACAGTGTCTGCACGTGTAGTTGAGGAATCAGATGCAGGATTTGAGTTTGGGGAGTGCAGCTCCTAGGTTAGTAGCCTTTGTGCATCACACCTAGTGGGTTTGATGTGCAGTTTAGGGTGGTCTTCCAGTTCCATAGCCCCATATGCCTGAGGCTGGAGAGCTCTGCAGTGTCCTTTGGATCCTCAGAGTATAAATAGTCTAATATCCAAAGGTGTGGGATAGATGAGCAGACAGGGAGGTGGATTAGGAATTGGCTCGATGGCAGGGTGCAGAGAGTGGTTGTCAATGGTGCGGAGTCCAGCTGGAGGCCTGTATTTAGTGGTGTCCCCCAGGGATCAGTTCTCGGTCCGGTCCTGTTCAACTTATTCATTAACGACCTGGATGAAGGGCTGGAGTGCTCCCTCAGCAAGTTTGCCGACGATACCAAACTGGGTGGAGTAGCTGATAGCCCTGAGGGCTGTGCTGCCATCCAGAGGGACCTGGACAGACTGGAGGACTGGGCGGTGASAAACCTCATGAGGTTCAACAGGGGCAAGTGCAGGGTCCTGCACTTGGGGAGGAATAACCCTGGACACCAGTACAGATTAGGSGTGGACCTGCTGGAGAGCAGCCCTGCAGAGAGGGACCTGGGTGTCATGGTGGACGACAAGTTGACCATGAGGCAACAGTGTGCCCTGGTGGCCAAGAAGGCCAACGGGATCCTGGGGTGCATTAAGAAAAGCGTCTCCAGCAG